CCCCCCCCCCCCGCCCGGTACGCCAATGGTGGAGCATATACATGAAGACCTTTATATTTAGATCTGCTGTTTAGTGTTCGATATAGAAGTATTTAAACAATACGATTTCATGAATTCATAGACAGTTTTAATAGCCCAATGTCGCTGTTCTATTCGTCAATAATTTCTTTTTTAAACAAGGGTGGAAAATGTACTTTTAGTCTATGTGTTTGTGTGGCAATGTGTCAAGGCGATGAGTATAGTGTTTATTCCACAATCTTGGCCAAAATTCGTACAGCGACTATAAACAAATTCGCAACTGTTTAATATACTGTTCTTGGGTTTTAAAATTATATTGCACATCCCCCAGCTCCCCCCAATTCAATGTTACTTTCCCACACTTCTACAACACGTAACAATTTGTCTATAATATGCTAAACGATAATTATAGACGAAACGTCAATATTGAATGGCGGCGGGGTGGGGGGGGGGGGGGGGGGGGGGGGGGGGGGGTGAGAGAGGAGGTATTGAAAATGCAAAAATTTATAGCATCGTGCTACTGTTTATGGCCAAGATTGTAGTTACTATGAAAGACTTCATTTACTTGAAGACAAATGAACAATTATTTGGAAAATGAACAATTAATCAATGGAAAATGAACAATTATTTCGTAATTTCATACCATATTAGCAGGGTTGACAAGAATATGACCTCCACTAATCAAACCACCATTCCTAAGACCATTCATAGTTTTTTGGCCACCTCTGATCTCTCTAAGACTGCCAAAAACCTCATATCCGCCACACCTCGCACACCTGTTATGTACTTCTTCCTCGAAATTGACAAACCTGACAACCCTGGTAAACTGGGCATCGTCTCTGATTGTGGTTGTCCCAGCGAACTCATCTCCAGTTTTCTTGATCGTGTCATGGCAGAGTGTATCTAAAAGTCGAGAGTCGAGAGTATAGGTCGAGAGTCGAGAGTAAAATTCGAGAGTCTGGAGTAAAATTCGCGAGTCGAGAGTAAAAAGTCGAGAGTCGAGAGTACAAGTCGAGAGTCGAGAGTAAAAAGTCGAGAGTCGGCAAATGTCATCAGAAACAACAAAGTCAAAATATTTTGAACCACTTTTAACACAATCTATATATAGCTTTACATAGCCATTCCGTAACAAGTACCAACGGCTGAAATACAAACTTTCCAATAAATATTGCTACAACAGTCAATAATAATAACGTAAACAAAAAAGATTGGATAAGAAAATAATATCGCATTTGATGCCTCAATCTTCCTAATGTTTTCACATGTCATTTCATTCTAACTGACACATAAATTCAGCTGAATTTTGACAGCCATCTCCAGGCTTGTAACTAAAATGTATTAACGTACGTTTACATCAAACGAGAGCATATTAAGAAATCCGCGTTGATCACAATCTAACGATTCATACAACTGTGAATTCATAAATACGAGCCAGTAGAAATAGGATTCTTTTGTCGTATGTGTGACTCTATTGGGTGGTAATATGCCCGCACGTGATTGTAAAGTCCTTATATTTATATGTAGCTTTACATATAAGTAATTTTTCGCGGAAATTGGTCATGTGAAAGCTGGAAGCTAGGATGAACAGTAATATATAAGGAAGCAATAAAACTAGTTATTAGATAATAGTTATTATTATTGAATGTTGTGGCTAAATTTTGGCGAAAGTATTTGTTTTATATTATACTGGATTATTCCTTTGATTGTATATGCCTCTTGTTTACTTTAATTTCGAGAATTTGAGCATACTAATTATGTTTCGCAAATATTGTTTACTTCATGTTCCGGGCACAGGAAATGAAATTAGTTCAGCCGTCATAGGCGTACGAGCGGGAAAAAATCAGGGAGCCAGAAAGAAAATTTACCCGACTTTTACCCACTGTATAAAATTTTCCTTGTAACTAAATTTCCAAAATTGTCGTTGGAAAGTAGACAAAAATATTTTCCTATTTGTGGATTCCTCGTTACCGTTTACATATTTCTGGTATTTTGAAATACCATATTGCATGTACTGTCTTCTTTTTAAATATATTTCCCCCAATTTTTGCCCGAATTTATACGTTTATAATTTGCATGACTTTATTTTGACTGGGGGGGGGCGGGATTGCCTCCCCCCCCCCCACTCGCCCGTACGGCTATAATCAGCCGTTGTTACGGATCGGTTACATATTGTGTTAAAAATATTTTGACTTTGTTGTTTTTGATGACATTTGCCGACGCTCGACTTTTTACTCTCGATCGACTCTCGACTTTTTACTCTCGATCGACTCTCGACTTTTTACTCTCGACTCTCGACTTTTTACTCTCGACTCTCGACTTTTACTCTCGACTCTCGACATTTACTCTCGACCTATACTCTCGACTCTCGAACCTCGATTTTTAGATACACTCGTCATGGCACCCTTTGACAAGGATACAATCCTACTTCAAGGATACCATATATGCTCTTCCAATTATTTAAAGTCCGTAATGTAAAGAAACGCTTCGTTTACATTTTGAACTCAGTGCTACAGTTGTAAAATATGATTAGATATATATTATACTGAATTTTTAACACTCTTCCGGTTCGCTATGCTTGTAAATGAATGCAGACGAGAGATTCAATTCAAGAAAGTTCGGAAGGTGCAAAATATTAACAACATTCCAAAGGGTGCTCCCCACTGATGGAATGTGTTGATGCGCAGAATATATGCGCAGAATGGACTTTACATCATCTTTAATAATAGTCAGAGCTGTAGGGGATTCTTTGGTTCAGATTCTTCCAAAAGCACCAAATTTGGCCCAGATGTTGCCCATACCATACTTTTTTGATTTTTGGTGGGCGCCAAGGTCGGCACCCCCCGGGACCGTCTTATTGGCGAAATCCAATATGGCCGCCACCGGGGTTAAAAATCAATTACAGTCGAACAACCGAAAAGGCAAGAATCATGAAAAATAACACTTTTTAAGGCGCTTCTGGGTCAGACAATCTGATTTTGGATATTATAGGAATGGTTCGAGGAAAAAGAAATCTTAAAAAGTACATTTAATGTCTATTTTTACTAATTATATCGCTTTTCAGTGTTCATTAACCTGAATATAGCCTTAATTTCAGGTCATAGTCACTCGTGTAATGATAAAAATTGACGATGGATGCAGGAACAATTTTTATTAACAATTTAAATGTTAAAAATGGATACTAGGTCTGCTGATGCGTCGCTAAATAAATTAAAAAAAAACCACATTGCCCATTCAAAAATACTGGTTTATTTAACATTAATTAATGAAACCTGGTTTATTTAACATTAACGTCATATAGGTATACGCTCTGGATTTTAATCTATCTTGTTCGCAACATGTGTTACTGGTCATCACCGCCCTCGTTATTAAGGCACCCGCCTTCACATTTGCAGAGGGCTGTGCATTTGACACCAGCTCGTTTGCATTTGCACCTTCCTTGGTATGCCTTGAGGCAAGCGCAGTGCAATAGGATGGCGCATGCCACTGAAGCATTTGTGAGTGTGGTCCATAAAGGTTGCCATGTACTGGTTCCATCTTTTTGCCAGCCCCACTCAGATAAGTCGGGAATTTCTTGCTGGACGGAGGTGGCCTTATCCCAGTAGAAAATGGCCTGCAATAATGCTCGTTTCACATGCTGGAAAAGAGCGGCTTGGGTAGGTGGGAGGTTTTCCAATGATCTGCTTCCATTGGTGAAGAGACGTTCAATCCGCTGCATGTGCACAGAATCAATACTGAAGAGGGTGGGGTCTTCCGTGAGAGCTTCTAATGTATCCGTGAGGTCCGGTAAACTGGTCCAGGCTGCCCAGGCAGTTTTTTTGCCACAACCAAGGAACTGCGAAGTTGTGTCGCACCCAGTTAAGCTGTGGAAGAGGGGTAGCGCGAGAGATTTTGATGGACCAAGGTTGGAATGCAGGACATGGACTGGAATGTCACGGTACTTTTTTCCGGTTCCGAAACCAACCCAGAGCTCCGATAGGCCGAGCGTATCGAAAAACCGGACTGTTAATACTACGACGTCGCTGTCCACCGTGCGAACATAGGCTGCTGTATGACCCTGTTGCACGGCATGTGCCAGATGCAGGAGGATCCTGGTGTCTGCCTCGGAATGGTTGCAGGGCTGGAGTGTTGTAAGGTCACAATTTCTATTGGCAAGCACGGTTTCGAAGTGTGTACTTAGGAGAAGCTTCCCGTCCATATCAATCTTCGAGATCTGTGTGCTGATGAATGAGAACAGCTCCTTTTTGTTCTCCACATTCTTGAGAAAGCCACTATTCCATTCACGCTTCGGGAGTGGAGTGCTGCCATCGCCGACTCTTGTCCGTGGGCCATTTCCGCGTCGTTGTTGCGTGAGGGCTTTAGCGTTATTTTCCTCTGGGTAATTATCCCATACAGCGTCGATGCGTTGGGTACTATTCTTCATTTGGGCCTCCAAAAATGGTATGATGTTGAGTGACACATACTCGTTAAATGTCTTCGCCGTTGTAGGACGCACCATGTGGATCACTGCCGCCATATCCAACACTACGACCGTGGCTTGTGTTGCAGCAGATGCACGGCCAGTCGGCGCATTAAGGCATTCGAGTACGTCAGAATTTTCCCAGCTAGCAGTGACCCTTGATCAGCTAGGCTCGGTGGTTCTCTTTGATTTTCGAAGCGGAAGAAGTCCATCATGTCGGCATCGGGACGCGACTGAAGTGAAAGAAAAAGTTGCGTTATCAAAGTCATGTTCTGCTTCTGTGTGCAATTGTCCTTCTTGCCTTTTCTCTTGGGGTCAAGTCGGTTGGTTAGGCTGAGCAAGTTCAACGGGTGGCTGGATCATGTAAGAGTCTGGTAGCTTGGGAGTCGACTTGTCGGAGGGGTCAAGCTTGATGGGAGGCCGCTTCACTCCAGGATTATTGTGTGAGAGATGGTTGGTCACGCTCAGGGCATATCCGTGAAACTCGTCCTGTGAGAAGTTTCCCTTAGCTTTGCTATCGATATTATCCACGTCGTGGGTGGCGAAGACATTGAGACGGCTGTTGGTAGGTAGTACCACCCCATCTTGAGTATGGCGAGCACACACCACACGTGCAACACTTCTCTTCACTTCCATGATGCGATTGTACGATACCGAGACGCCCTGTTCATGATCAATCTCTATCTGTTTTTTACTGCGTGCATTTCCGTGTAGCTTGAGACCATGATACAGGGGAAAGGGGGTTTCTCGCTCCTTGTTGTGCCGTACTGCCTCCGTCTTGACTGGATGGTGCGTGCGCTTAGTAAAATTATAAATGAGCAGTTGTGAGATGTTGCACACGATCTTCTCCCTTGTTTTCAGATTGACGTCGCCACTGGTCTTTGAACTTCCTCGAATAGATGATGGACCTCGGAGTACTACGTTTAAGAAACTTCGCATCTCCTCATTGACGCAAGCCGTGAGACAGTTAGGGGGAAACGAGCCATCGAAAGGCTTTTGATTCTGAAGACAAAGCTCGTGCATCATCACGGCAGCCCGCATGAAGATAAGTGCGTCTTCTTGACCAATTTGAGACTTATACGTTTTAGCCAGCTCTTCAACCACTTTAAATTTGTGAGATAAGAAAACATCCTTCCTGCCTTCGTCCCCCTTCGAGAACTCATCCCATTCAGGTAGGAGATCGAGAAGGTGATCCTTGAATCGTGTCGAATGTGGTTCCCTTTTATCTTGCAATGGGCGTCCTTTATCACTCATTAGCTTTTCATACATCTCACGTAGCTCGGAGAGCTTGAATGAAGTAGAGTCCGAATGTTCGATCATTGCTACAATTTGAGCGCAGATGATGGGATCGAAGGGCGGAGGTACAGGACCCGTCAATTCTCTCCGCTCGGTCGCACGATCAGAGTCACGCAAACGTACATAACACTTATGATGATAATATGTACCAGCCGCGTGTGCATCAGCTACATTTGCAACTAGTCTGCCAAGTAAAGAAAAGTTTTTGTTCGTCTTCGCCCAACTTTTTAGATTAGCATCTACAACATCGGTTACCACATTGTCGAGGTTAGCCTGATCTTCTCCTTCACAAATGACACAAAATATGTCGTTGATCACCAAGCGAAATTGCCCAGATGACCTGAGCCGTTTGGGACTATTCAGATCGCTGATATCTTTTTTTTGCTTCTCTCTTGCCCGTTTGACACGAGCACTACTGCAATGTCTTCTGCAAGATTTGTGATACCTAGCCTTATGCGATTTGAGAGTTGCTGCAATACCCGAGCCATCGTTCAACTGACTGATTGTGACATTAATACCAGATGGAAGAGAATTGGCATTAATATCATGGAAGTCTTTAAGATCTCTCTCGAGTGATACAAGTCCATCCTCTTTTGGAGTTTGCAAGGTTTCTTGAGTAGTGTCCGTTTGACAAAGACAACAAATTTCCCAATTCATACTTTCAGAGGTTTATCTTTGAAGTATATTTCTGCATAATACAATAAACAGGTTTTTTTTGTTTTCTTTTCGCAAAATACTGTATTCAGTTAGTATTCGATATTATGAAGGCATAGGAAAGCTCTTTTCTTTATCTTTCTCGACCGGCTACACCAGAAAAGTTCAGAAATTACTGGTAAAATTTAACTAAAAAACATAAAAAATTACCTTTGCTGTTGATCTTGACGAAAAACCGATGCTATAATATCAAAAATGAGATTATCCCACCCAGAAACTCCTTAAAAAGTGGTATATTTTATGATTCTTGCCTTTTTGGTTGATCGACTATGATTGACCTTTAACTCTAGTGGCGGCCATATTGGATTTCGCCAATAAGACGGTCCCGGGGAGTGCCGACGTTGGCGCCCATCAAAAATCGGAAAAGTATGGTATGGACAACATCTGGGCCAAATTTGGTTATTTTGGAAGAATCTGAACCAAACTGTCCATTTGATGCCCTTACAGCCCTGACTATAAGTCAATATTTATAATATATGGACCCTGTCGATATTTTACCCATCTTTGCGTTCAGCTTAGTGCTAAGGCATTCAAATTCTAACAATACGTTATTTCAATAGTTTGTGTTGTTTTGGGACACCCTGTAATCTGTAATGTGATTGACATATTTTGTTTATACTTTGTTTTGACTAAATCCATCTGATTGGTTTATTTTTGGGCACGTGTTGCTTTTATATTCTTAGTATAAAAGCTCATGTGATTTTCCCAACCACCATTACTTACTCCATGCAGACGAAGGGCGTTCTCTCGAAACGTCGAAATTCTCCATATGTTATTCAGGTAGTTGCACCCCTGCAAACGAAAGCCTGTTTTTAATTTAATTTAAAGCATAGTGACTACATTTTTGCTAATCAAGTTAAGTTTATTCGCAAAGGAGTCACGTACATCACACAAACAACTTTCTTTAACATTAAATTAAAAATCTTGAAAATCCGATGACGTCTGCCAGGTTTGCTATTGAATTAAGTTACACGAGCAAATAAAATGCGAGAAAGGTGAAAATCAGCGGTTACGCCGATACCGAAACGGCTTGTGCAACGTATAGCAACCTCGCAACTACGGAACGTTCGAAATCTGAATTACATACAGCTATTTCAATTAAGGTTGTCCCTCAAGCAAAGCGGAAAAGTCGAATACGAGCGCGAAAGGCTGCTGGGAATTGCTAATAAATTCATTCATTTATTAGCGAATCTCAGCAGCCTTTCGAGCTCGTATTCGACTTTTCCGCTTTGCTCGGGGGACAACCTTAATTGAAATAGCTGTATACTGCGCGCATGTCCATCGCGCTTTACGCGATTAGGATTCGAGGTTTTGCGTTTTTGAGTTTTGTCTTTGAAAGGACAACCTTAATTGAATCAGCTGTATTCATATAATATCATGTCGTACATGTCGTTCGACAAATGTAGACAATTTATAATAACCCGCTTTTCAAGAATTTTTTTTATTTGGCGTCAAAATTGTTTAAAATTTGACAGGCAATTTTGTTGTATTTAATATTATACCTTTATTTGCAATGATCCTAAACGAAGCATGTATGTTGATGGGAGTCAATGAAAGTCTAATACCGTCTAAAGTCTAATAAATTACAAACATGTATAAGAATAAACACATATCACATATGTACTCTGAATACGCTAACATGCATGCATAAACAATCTCATAATAATGCTTTTCGCGCTTAGAGGTCAGTAACGGTTTTCTCCGGATATTCTTAATTGAATTAGCTGTATGTCCATCCATGCATACACCTATATCAATTAAGGTCGTCCCCGACCAAAGCGGAAAAGTCAGAAAATACGAGCGCGAAAGGCCTGCTGGGAATCGCTAAAAAATTAATTAATTTTGTAGCGATTCCCAGCAGCCTTCCGCGCTTTTCCGCTTTGCTCAGGGACAACCTTAATTCAAACAGGTGTATTCAGAGACATATTTATTACGTAAAATAAAATAAAAGCCACTTAAATTTTGCACAAACTTTTTCGCTTTAATGTTAGCTCCTCAGGTGCAAATTTACAATGAGTGGAATTTAGTTAGTTTATCTATTATCTACGTTCTATGATATCATATTATAACTATGTTAGGTACGCATATATTTAAATAGCGTGAAGTCACCCGTTAAAAACATTTTATTGAAGTAAATGTAAGCATAAGCTTAATAGTTTTTTAATTAGCGTTCAGATTCGGATTAAGTATATTGATAAGTTATTTTTCTTTCATCTCCCTAAAAAGTCTGTCCGTCTTAATGCATTGATATATAGGCATTATTTTGAAAACTCCGTTGTTACACATATTTAAGTGTTCGCTTACTTTTAGATGTCTATACTCTTTGTGTCGAATTTGTTCCTTGTGTAATGTCGCTCTTTTCCGTAAGTTTTCTGTCTGGCCGACGTAGAAGCTGTCGCATTTTGAGCAAATGATCACGTAAATGACATATTTCGCTTTTCAATTCATCGTCGAATTGACGGCTTTCCAGGTTTTTCCGCTCTTTAATGTAACAGACTTTCCTGTGATTAAAACATCGCATGTTCCACATCGCTTTTCCTCGCATTTTGTTACAAAGTGTTCTCTGTCCTCTGAATTGAATTGTGCTTTTGTCAAGTATCGCTTCAAGTTCTTCGGTTGACGTTTGCTTACAATGAGTTTTGTCTAATACTCGTTTATTTTCTCGGAATTGTTCAGAATCGAAATTTAAAGTTCTCCCTTATTTTTCCAATTACTTGGGGATTGTTGGGATTATGAGTTATTACTAAAGGCAAAAAATTGCCATCAGTTTTATGCTTTGGTGCCCTTAATTCCTCAATGTTCTTTGATGAAGCCTTCTGTATTCCGTTTTTTATAAGCAATTTCGGATAGTCCTGCTTTTTAGCTTAGGAAATCCTCCTGCTTAGGAAATATTCTAGTTCATCAAGACGCTTCTTCTTTAAATATTGATTTGTTACAATTGCACAGATCCGTCTTGCCAGTGTGTAGGGAATGTTTGATTTTGTATGTCCAGGATGAAATGAATGATAATCCAGATATTGGTGTGTGTCCGTTTGTTTGTAATGCATATCACTTTCTAACCTTTCCGCGTTCTTGTAGAGTAGTATATCCAAAAACGGTAGTTTCTTATGGTCATATTCCATCGTGAATTGTATTTTTGGATGAAGGGAATTTAACCCTCGAGTTCTGCTTCTGTCTTCTGCCAGGGTAGAAGGCAATCGTCTAAGAAACGTTTAAACAATTTCACGAAGTTTTCTTTTTCGTCCTTTCCATACTTTTCCTTGAACCTTTCGTGAAGTTGTGTTTCAATGAAACCCATAGTTAATGTGGCGTACGTTGGGGCCATTTTAGTGCCCATTGCTGTTCCTTGTATTTGTTTATAACTAATGTCATCAAATTGAAATGTATTCTACTTTAGGACAATTGAAATGGCCTCCAAAATAAATTCTTTATAGGGACTACGGTCGTGACAATGATATATTCACGGTGTTTGATTCCAAGATCATGTGGAATACTTGTATACATGCACTAGCTCTGATGACGTCGAATGATTCCAATATCGTTTTCTCGTTTATATTTGCAGGTATTTTGTTCAGAAAATCCATACTCTCCCGTGTAAAACTTGGTACATGTTGGCATAATGGTTTTAAAATTAAATCGACAAAATTGCTTAGTCTACTTTGTGTGGGCGATATAGGTCCAGCTACTATAGGTCTCATCTTTAACTCCGCTGGTGATTCCAGTTTGAAGAAATCATTGTTTTGGTCGGTGACAGCATCTGTTATGGTCTTTGATTTGTGTATTTTCCGTAATCCATAAAAATTTGATGTTTTCATTAGGAAATTTGTGATGTACCCTTTCTCGTTCTCAGTAATGAAATTTCCAAAGTTTTTATTAAGTCTTTTAGTTTCGTAAAATGGCTTCGTCCTCGTTTGGCGATAATTGTATGTAATTCTCTGTGTCGGAAAGGAGGTGTAGCATTTTGTCTCTATAATAAGATTTGTCTATTACCCCCGTTGCTCCCCCTTTATCTACATGTTTGATTATGATTGTGTCGTCATTTTTAAGTTATGATTGTGACTTCACACTATGTATAAATATAACGGGTGACTTCACACTATGTAAATATATGCGTATGTAAATATATGCGTATTCATCCTGCTCTAACGTACCGAGAAATAATCAACTCTGTTTTTACCCATGAAAACCATAAAAAATTTAGGCTATTTAATTTAAGAAAAATTTAAGCGTCTGCCTTAGTGGTCCTTCATGTACCTTTAAGTTTGTAAAGACCTATTAAATACTTGCATAATTTCGAACATTCATATTTCAGGAAAGAATGACATGAGCCAAGACTTACATGCATGTTAAGATATCTAAATCTACGCCATTATATCCCTTATACAAACCTTAACGACAATTCGTTGAAATACAAGTTAGCCTGATATGTCTTAAACAAACAAACGCTGGAGTTATATTTGATATGCCGATTTTCGCTAATTTTAGGCGCATCCCAAAATATGCTCCCGATTTTGAACATTAATATCTCGGTGAATTTTTGAGTAAAATACAACTGTAATATATCAAAATCTAAGTTAGTCCTTCCTATATGTAATGCCAGTTATTTCTGTTTGATAGATTTACTTGTTTAGAAGTCATTATAAATCAAACAGGAGTACTTTTTTTTGGGACACCAGGTATATATATATATATATATATATATATATATATATATATATATATATATATATATATATATATATATATATATATATATATATATATATATAGCCTTTCACCATATTTAGACACGATATTGAAAGTGCCAATTATAAGTGCTTTGTTTACCCTCAAAGATGATAATTATAGTTCAGATGCAATAATACTCACTACATAGTATGTAGCTGGCGTCAACAGGCTTCAAGAAAGCAGGATTTGGCCATTTCTGGGATCTCAGATTTCAA